TTGGTCATGTTATAAGAAGGGACCATTCCCTGGAGAAGGATGTCATGCTTGGTAGGGTGGAGGGTCAACGAAAGAGAGGAGGACTTCAACGAGATGGATTGACACGGTGGCTGCAATGATGGGCTCAAGTATAGCAGGGATTGTGGGGCTGGCGCGGGATCGGGCAGTGTTTCGTTTCTGCTGTGCATGGGGTCGCTATGAGTCGGAAACGACTCGACGGCACTTAACAACAACAACAACAAAAGCCCATAATTGATTTATTAGTGTATAGTCAAAGAGAGGATTATGAAAGAGATACGTATATCACAGAAGCTTATATGTCATAAACACACACTGAAAGCCCACACATTCTGTCTTAATCATCATTGAAGTTCAAATATTTATCTATGGTGACATTCAAAATTTTTTTTTTCTTTTTTGTGTTTTGATATTAATTGTCCTCAACATTTAGCATTCCTTCTGTACTTAAACCCTACTGTTAGAAATTAAGTCAAGAATGTGTATGTTGTGTAGAACTTTCACACAGTTTTACAGCTCCTTATTTAACACTGAGAAATTGAAGATATTTTGAAGAGATAGACAAAATTTTTCAGTATCTTTGACGTTAAGCGTTGCAGGCTTTTGCACTCTGCCTTGTGTTTTACTTCTTATCTTCCACTTCTGTTCCCCTATTGACTCTTTATTACTATTGCTATTGTTGATGATTACCATTGAGTTGGCTCTAACTAATGGCCACCTAATCTAACAATATCAACTTTGCCCAGTTCTGTGCCTTCTTCCTGATCACTGATATGTTTGAATTTATTGACTCCTTAGTAGATGAGATTCGTTGACATCTAACATCTTTGATTCACTGGGTCCCCTTATCCTATTTCCTCTGCAATCTACTTCCATAGTGATACCGCCTCAGAAATCCAAGGAGGAGTCTCTGTGAGTCGGGTCCGACCTGATGGCACATAACAACAACAACATCTTTGTGGTAACTGTGATGCTTACATTGTGCTCATCACATATCCAGAGACAGAAGATACGTGCTCATTAAATGGATATTATTCTGTTGTTGTTGTTGTTATGTGCCGTCGAGTTGGCCCCGACTCATAGCGACCCCTCCTTGGGTTTCCGAGGCAGTATCACTACGGAAGTAGGATTGCCCAACCTTCCTTCCGAGGAGTGGCCGGTGGGTTTGAACCGCCAGCCTTCTGGTTAGCAGTCAAGTACATGAAATAAGTCCCTGAAAAAAATTAAATGTACAGAAACCTCTGCAGAGATAAGCTTTCTGTTCTAACTACTCTATAATAAGGGAAGGACTGTTGTCAATGAAATTGAAACAGAAATCTGAATGATTGCTACTACCTTCACCCTTTCTTTCCATTTCAGCTGATTCAAAGCTTCACCCAGTGCTGGTGAGGCTGAAGCAGGTGCAGAAGAGAGAGCGTGATGGAAGTGAATGCAGACCCACAGCCTGCAGGACTGCTGGACTGTGTTGTGCGCTTATAGTCCAGGTGCTGTTACAGAGTCCAAGGACCAAGACTTGATTACCATTTAAAGTACTAATGCCTCCATTGCTTTCATTATAACTTCCCATGCCTCCTACTTTAATTTTCCTTTTGTTATCTTTCTCACACTTTTTACTCTATCTTTGTATACTTTATTTCCTGAAATTATATTACTAAATTTGACTTGGTTTCTTTTATTCTCATTTTATCTGCTCTCTTTTTTATCCCTTTTTTTTTTTTTTCTCAAAGTATTCCCTTTTCCTTTCCCCTAATTTCTTGATCTTACTTATATTCTTTCTTCTTTTAACTTCTCCATATTCCTTTAGGTTGTAATCTTTCGTTCATTATTCTTGTCTTCTCTATTTCCCTTTTATTAAATTGTTTGTCTTCCCATTAATTCTGTGAAGCTCTATTATTGTTTTTTTTTTTTTTTGAAGTAAGAGTAAGCATAGTAGTTGCTTCCTAATTTTCTTCACTCTAATGGATTATTCCAAAGATTAAAAACATACATTTCACCTTTCACTACTAAGTCTCTTTTCTTTAATAATATCCTCCTTAAAATATACCAAGTGTGAGATGATTTTTTTTAATTATTATGTATTCCCTCGGATGTTTTGTGTCAGTAACTGATATTAATAAAAATAGATATTTACCTTTATGCCCAAAAGAAATTTGTCATTAATACATCCTAGTATGAAAATTATATTTAACAAACTTCCAGAATTAAGAATCCGTATCTATTAGTATGTGATATCTAGTTCGTAAACCATTTCACATACACAATTACTAGTCACTGTATGTTATGAAAAATGCAGATGAGGTTAAAGAGTGCCACCAAATATTTACCTCCTACTTATATTTATGACAGCTCTAAAAGTCATTCTCCAAGTATACAGACTCATTAGCATCTAAATGGGCTATAAATCTCTTCAAATGCTATGATTTTTAGGCAACATTTATAATAGAAAAAGCCCTAATTTGGATTTGAGGCTATCTGGGTTTAAATTCTTGATCCTGTAGTTTCTTAACCTTTAAGTTTGGAAATGTCACTCAATCTTTCTTATCCAGAGTTTTTTCACCATCTCACTGTGTTGATGTGAAGATCCAAAAAGATGAGGATGATAGCAATAAGTATCATATTCAAGTCTGATGAAACCAAAACCAAAATGGAAAAATTTGAGTTGCTAAAAGGAGCGTTGGTTTCTAAGAGGTAAAAGTGTAGCAATATTTGTTTCCATTTCTTCCTTCTTTCTGTTCCCTGTAAATATAAAGAATGAAAAAGCATTCAACTCTCTGGGGACTCAGTGCTACTCTCACAGCAGGCACTCACCTTCTGATGGAAAGAACAGTAAGTAACTGATTGCTCCTGCCTTTGTTCTTAAATAGCTCTTCTCACCGGCTGGAGGTAGGGTCTCTTACATTTTAAAATACACGATGAATTTGTGATGCAATGGAGAATACACTTTGGGAATTTGAAGACTACCACAAGTTGCAGAACACTTTCAGTGGGGATATTAGAATGCCAACAAGATACAGTCAGGAAAAAGACCAGAGATTTGTAAGATGTAAATATTCAAATATATGTCAAATAAATTTCTCTGTGTCACTTCTAAGGTATTCTGGTAGTATAGTGTGCCTTAAGGCATTTGACTGCCCGCTAGAAGTTTGGCAGTTTAAACCCACCAGCCACTCCACAAAAGGAACATGGGGCAATCTACTTCTGTAATGATTTACCACCTCAGAAACCTAGTGGGGGTCACTATGTGTTGGAATCGCCTTGATGGTAGTGAGTTTTGTTTTGGTTTGGGTGTCACTTCTGGGTTCTGAAATCAGCATTCTGTCTGTGACAGAAATAATGGAATGGTAAGTATGTTTATTAAATCTTGGTGGGTAGAAAGTCAAGGAAAGTTACTTCAGACCTCACAATGCAATTCAAAAAGAGAATAACAAATTACTTAACTGATAAGAAATCATTGATACATCGAGAAAGGAAGTAATGTGATCAAGTTGGTAATATATTAGATTAAACATATTTCTGATGAAGAAGACATAGTCAAAGGGAATATAAATGATACAAAGACTCCCCAGGAAAAATTCTTCTTCAGGAGAAAAACTGCATGTTGTAGAACAGACTAATTCCTCAAGAAAACATGTCATTCTAAATAGATAGTATTGTATCATTAGTATTTGTCCTTGTTCATTTTAGGAATGCCTCCTGTGTTCACTAGGATGACTGAGATGGTTCAAACAGTTAAGTGTTTTACTACTAGC